TTTTTTGTATTTTCGAGACAGGGTTTCTCCGTAGCTTTTGGTTCCTGTCCTGGAACTAGCTCTTGTAGACCAGGCTGGCCTCGAACTCACAGAGATCCGCCTGCCTCTGCCTCCTGAGTGCTGGGATTAAAGGTGTGTGCCACCACCGCAAAACTGCCTTCTTAATGAGAAGTTTCTCTAGGGCGAAGGCTGTGGCTCAGTGCTGGAGTACTCACACCGTATGTTTAAGGCTCTGGGTCCCCAGCACTGCAACAAATGGAAATAAGGAAAGCTTAAGATCACAGTTCCTTCCCACAGTCCTTTAGATGCAGTGCATACAGCTCTAAAAACTAGCAAGGCTTGTTGACCATTAAGAGTGGCCGTAAGCACCCACCTCAGACAGCTCACAACTCCCTGCAAGTCTAGCTTCAGGGGATTTGATGCCCTCTTTTGACCTCCACAGACGCATGTGCATGTGTGCATGCACACACAAACACACATACATGCACACACACAAATAAATATTTTTCAAAAAAGTTATGAAATTGTTTAGAACAAAGGGTACAAATAGAGGAGAAAGAGATGAGAAAGGTGGGTGTCAGAAACAGGAGGGAAATGTGTCCAGCACACAGCACATGCATGCATGAAAACTTAAAGTGTATAAATAAATAAATTTAGTACTAAGAGATTGCAGATTGCTGGACGGTGGTGACATATGCCTTTAATCCCAGCAGATGAATCTCTGTGCGTTCAAGGTCAGCCTGATCTACGTAGGGAGTTCCAGAGAACTCAGAGAAACCCTGTCTCAAAAAAAAAAAATTAAAAAAGAAAAAAAGAAAGGAAAAAGAAAAAGAAAGAGGTTGAAGATCAATCATGTGCGAAAAGCTTAAAAGGAATGGAACCAAGGATTGTGAGTTGAGAGCCGCCCAAGCTCATAGTTAATTCCAGGACAGCAGAACTGCACAGCAAGACCATGTCTCAAAAGGAGGGGTACAGGGAAAGAGGAGCAGAAATATGGATGAGGAAATCATGAAAAGGAGAAAGAGAAACAGGAAAAGGAGAAGACTCTGAATTTCCAGAGAGGAATCAGGAATCAGCAGCAGTGGAATCGTGTCAGCGTCTACGGCAGTCTGTCCGGAAATTACTTGCAGTCTTTAGTCCAACAACCAGATAAATAGTGAAATACAAATACAAACAAAGTTTGGAGGCTGTAGAGATGGCTCAGTGGCTAAGATTGGCTGCTTTTCTAGAGGATCCAGGTTCAATTCCCAGCACCCGTTCGGCAGCTCACAGCCATCTGTAACTTCACTCCCAGGGGATATAATGACCTCTTCTGGCTTCTACAGAACAAGACGTGTACATAGTACACATACATATGTGGAGGCAAAATACCCATACACATAAAATAAAAATTAAAAAATGAAGTGTAAAGAAGTATCTATATGTATCTTTGACCATCATGGAAATGTAAATAAAATTATTTTAGGGGATTAGGGAGCTACACTGAGATCCCATTTCACCTCAGTCAGAATGGCTGTCATCATGAAAAAAAAATAGCAAGGACACCATGAAAAAAGAATTCTTATGCTCTACTGATAAGAATATAATTAGTACAACCATTATGAAAAAGCATATATGGAGGTTTCAGAAACACTGGAAGAGGAATTCCCACTTGCTGCAGCTGTACCATTCCTGAATATAAACCTGAAGGAATCAAAGTCAGCATTCAGTTGCCAGCATGCCAAGACTTGGATTCTTTCCCATCACTGCCCTCGAGGAGCTGTAGTTCAGTAGGCCCATGGTCTACCTTCAGCTTTACCAGATTCTGAACTGCTTGCAAGATCTCCATCTTTCTTACTCTTGCGTTCAGTTTCCTCACCGTCCTCCCTCCAACTCAGTGTGTTACAGTGACAGCCCCTTCCCCACACAACTCAGTGTATTACTGTGACAGCCCCCCAACTCAATGTGTTACTGTGACAGCCCCCCAACTCAATGTGTTACTGTGACAGCCCCCCCAACTCAATGTGTTACTGTGACAGCCCCCCCAACTCAATGTGTTACTGTGACAGCCCCCCCAACTCTCAGTGTGTTACAGTGACAGCCCCTCCCCCACATCACTGCTGGAGTGATTAAGGACTTGAACTCCTGTGCTCTTTCGAACCTGTTTCTTCCTTTCAGATCTAAGTGACTTGCGGTAGACTATTCTCTCACTGTGACTACCAAGTTCCTCATCTGTCAGGAGTTCCCATCAATATCAAACAACATGTAGAACAATTGGCACAGCTCCTGTTAGTACTTGTTGTAGTCTAGTTGTTATCCCCTCCCTTCAAACTCCCACGGAAGGCTCATGCTGGGCTTCCTTCTTTGCCCTTGCCACTCTAGGGTCTCCCTGTCTCCAAGGTAACACACGGCAGTAGAGCTAAGCCTCTAGAAGGTAGGTGAAGAAGCACAGCCTTAGATGGATGTTCATTTCATTCATACTTTGCATTTCTGTTTTGTTTTCTATACAGATTTTCCTGGTTTTAGGTGCAATGTGCTTTTTGCTATCCATTGGACATGGCATTTGGGAGAGCAACAAAGGCTACTTCTTCCAGGCGTTTCTCCCATGGCAACATTTCATAGGTTCATCAACTACAAGTTCTGCCCTTGTTTTCTGGTCCTACTTCATAGTCCTCAACACCATGGTTCCCATTTCGCTCTATGTCAGGTAGGTGTCTTTGGTGGTTGTGTTCAAGGGTGGGGTGACTTTATACTTCCTGTTTTAATAACCAACTAGAGTGTGATCTAATAGGAAATATGAATTACCATCTTTCTTTTTTAAAGATGAGTGCTTGCTGTGTTGTCCAAGCCAACTTCAAACTTCAGATCCTCCTGCCTCAGCCTCAGTACTGGGAGTGTAGACACGTTCCACTATTCCTAGCTCACTTTGTAGCTATCTCTTTCCTTTCCACAGGCTTGGTGTATAAAGCACTCTGAGGAGTATCTAGAAACTGGCTAGAATACTGCTAGCTATTATATGATTTATATGAAAGAATAATTATCTGTACCCTCAGGTAACCTGTAAGTGACTATGCAAACCCATGAAACAGTTGGTATTGCCTAACTACGCCAGACAGCCTTCCTTACCCATGAGTTTGGTCCCAAACATTCACTCTCATGTCAGTTATGTAGAACTCAGCATACATTTTTCCATTTAAAAAGAAAAGAGAGAGTATGTGGGAAACAGGTATGGTAGTTTAAAGAATGGCCCCCACAGGCTCATAAACTTGAATGCTTAGTAGGATTAGGAGGTATGGCCTTGTTGGAGTAGGTGTGACCTTGTTAGAGGAAGTAAGTGTGTCACTGGGGTGGGCTTTGAGGTCTCAGAAGTCCATGCCAGCGCCGTCTCTTTCTCTCCCTGCTGCCTATGGATCAAGATGTAAAGCTCTCAGCCCCATGGCCATGTCTGCCTGCCTGCCACCATGCTCCCCATTATGATGATAATGGACTAACCCTCTGAAACTGTAAGCAAGCCCCCAATTAAATGATTTGGCTTTAATATGTGTTGTCTTGGTCACAGTGTCTCTTCAAAAACATAGAAAGTGACCAAGATAATAGGTATATTGACTTATATTGCGTTCCAAATATAAGTTGTATAAATTTCCTTTTTTAAAATTTATAACTTTTTTCATTTATTATTATGAGTTAAAGTTTTCTAAGTTTTCATAATGTTTCTCTGGCTTTCATTGGAGTGTGTTGTAACAATGCCTGTTTAATCTCTAATTTTATTAATTTGAGATTTTTTTCTTTTTCCTTTAATGTGGCTATGTGTTTGTAAATTTTATTTATCTCTTCAAAGAATGAATTGTGTGTGTGTGTGTGTGTGTGTGTGTGTGTGTGTGTGTGTGGTCTGTCCATGTCCTCTTTTCCAAGTCTCCTAAAATCTGACCTCTGATATCCCACCCAGAAAGTATTCTCCATAACTGAGTTACCTTATTTAATAAACGTTTCTGACTACCAGTATGTGCCAAGTCCTCTACTAGGTACTAGGGATAGAAATCTGAGTGATAGGAATCACTTTCTTTCTTTCTTTTTTCTTTCTTTCTTTCTTTTTTTCTTTCTTTCTTTCTTTCTTTCTTTCTTCCTCTCCTTCCTTTTTTTAGAGAAGCTTGCTCGGAGCTGTGGAAACCATACATAATTGTGGTACAATACAAAAATTCTCTTATAAAATATGCATGAGTATTATAAACACTTTAAGAAGGAATATATTAGTTCTGTCCAGGGATACTTACAACAGTTTACGGGAAAGGTAATCTTCAAACTGAATTTGGGCAGTCCACAAGTGCAAGATGTGGATATTTTCTCAAAGTTGGACCAGATGTTAGATCTAAAAGAACATAAATTACAAGCAAAAGAATTTGGATTTTATCCTATAAGCAGTAAAGAACCAACCAAGATCTAAGAAATAATGTAAATTATTAATATAATTATATATAACCATATAATATTAAGCATGTAATAAAATATCATAATTGGCATATTAATTATATGACATGTATGTATTATATAATATGTTATATTATTATAATAAATTCTCCCTGTACATGACACAATCTTTCCAGCTCTAAATACTTTTAGAAGGTCTGAAAATGGGAGCTGGAGAGGTAGTTCAGTTGTTAAGATCTCCCCTTGCTCTTGTAAAGATTCTAGGGTCAGTTCCTGGCACCTACATGATAGTTCACAAAGATTTGTATTTCCAGTTTCATGGGATCTGTTACTTTCTTCTGGACTCTGAGGATACCAGGCACACTTGGTGCACACACATACATACAGGCAAAACCCTAATATACAATAAGACTTTTTTTTAGAATGGTCTAAAAATAAACTACAGCAAGAAGCAGATAAGGGAGAAAAAGAAAAGGACACACCATGACCAAGTTGGTTCACCTTGAGATACAAAGATCAATAAATGTAACACAGCATATAAACAGACTTGACAGAAGTCACTCAGTCATCTCAGTAGATGCAGAGGAAATTGGAGGGGCATTTGACACGGGAGACCCAAGCGGGAGCCTGCACCCTTGCCACTTTTCCAGCATCTTGACTTAGTTGAGCATGGCTTAAATGGGAGGATCTCCTTCAGCCCAATGACCCCAGACACTGAGGACACATTGACCTCAGTGGTTTGATTCACTAGACCTAAGCAAGATAAGAAAATAGCGATCCTAATATCAGACCCACTCCCAAGAACTCTCTTTTAGGAACTGTGTTGGGTATTGAGCCCTTCATCTTCTAATGTTATGTTTTCAAAACAGATGGGGAGAGAAAGGAAAGATTTATTCATGAAGGAAGACTGGACTGGACATTTAGCCTCTCCTATTAACTTTTCTATATTCTTGAATAAATAAATGTTCTATTAATTATTGAAAGAAAAGAAAAAAGGGCTGGAGAGATGGCTCAGTGGTTAAGAGCATTGCCTGCTCTTCCAAAGGTCCTGAGTTCAATTCCCAGCAACCACATGGTGGCTCACACCCATCTGTAAAGAGGTCCGGTGCCCTCTTCTGGCCTTCAGGCATACACACAGACAGAATATTGTATACATAATAAATAAATATTTAAAAAAAAAAGAAAAGAAAAAAGATTTGAGAAAGCTCAGTATCCCTTCGTAGTAAAACCCTGAATAAAATGGGAAAAGAAGGAAAATACCTCAGCATGATGAAAACTGTGTGTAACAAACCTAAAACCATAATTGTAGCAAGTGGGAAACACTGACAGCATTTCCTCTAAAATACAGAATGAAGCAAGGATTCCCACTCTCTCCACTGATTTTTTTGCATGTGTATGTGTATACCGTGTGCATTCATGTGTGTATATGCGTGTGCGTGTATATAGAGGGGGGCTGCTTATGCATGTGTGTGGAAACCAAAGCTTAGTACCAGGAGTCTTCCTCAGTCACTCTCTACTATTCATTGAGATGGATCTCTTATTGAACCACCTCAGCTGAACTGAGAACTGACACAGGCTGGTCTAGCTAGACTCCTTGCTCTGGGGGTGGCCTGTCTCCACCATTCAGGTACTAGAATTGCAGGCAGGTCACCAAACCCATAGCCCCAATCCTTAGTCTCGCACAGCAAATGTTGTAACATTAAACTCTCATCCTAGCCCTTCACTCTTGTACAATATAGTCTTTGAAGTCTTAGCTAGAGTGAGACAGGGAAGAGAAATAAAAGAAAAACAATTAGGAAAGGGAGTTAAATGATCCTTATTTGCAGATGACGTGATCGTATAAAGAAACTTTCATCTTAAAAGCCTTATATCTAATTTAAAAACAGTTATTAAAGTATCAGGATACAAAACCAACACACAACTAATTAGTAGCTTCTCTATATGCTGATAATAAAGTTTTCAAGTAAGGAACTGGAGGGAGGGGTTCTCAGTCATAGGCACTCCAAAAAACAAAACACCTAGACATAAACCTATCTAAGGAGGAAAGACTTCCACAATGAGAACGTTTAAACCCTGAATAGATGAGTGGAAGAAGGAAAGTCCTCCTGTGCTCCTGGATTGGCAGAATTCATATTGTGAAATTATTAGTGGTACCAAAAGCAGTTTTATAGATTTAACACAATTGCCACCAGATTCCACTGACATTCTTTATGACTCTAGGGAAAAAAAATCTTTAATGTGGAAGTTTGAAAGACTTTGGGTAGCCAGACAATCCTATACAGGAAGACAGAAAACAAAGAAAACCAATGCTGGAGTGTCACAGTATCTGACCTCCCTGTAGAGCTACGGTAACACAAGCAGCATGGCACTAGCACAAACAGATACGGTGGCTCATGCAGTAGGACAGGAGACCTCCAAAATCAGTACCTTAATAAGTGAGTCACAACATCCATCGGAGAAATGATAGCCTCTTCACAATTGTGGAAATCATTATAGTAAGCAAAATAAGCCAAACTCGGACAATCACTGCATGTTTTCTCACACGTGGAACCTAGATTTGAATTTGTTTGTGTGTGCGTGTATGTGTGGGGAAAAAGATTTTAGGGGAGCAGCAGAAAGAGGGTAATGAAGTGTATTTGACATGAAAGAAGAAGGTGAACAGTTCAAGGAGGTGAAGGGACTAGGGAGCGGGTTAGGAGTTCAGAAGCTGGTGGGGAGGGGTGAACACAAACAAGATGTTATGAAAACGCTGTAGTGAAGCCCATTACTTGTTACATACTCAAAAGTTTTTAGTCAGGGTCTTACCATGTGGCCCTGGCTGGCCTGGAACTCACTGTGTAGACCAGGCTGGCCTCAAACTCACAGAAATCTGCCTGCCTCTGCCTCCTGGGAACTGGCATTTAAAGTACGTCCCACCACGCCTGGATATATGCTCACTTAAAACTGATAGGCTAACCTGCGTGAGAACCAGTGTTATAGAGAGATCATTTGGAGAGACAGAGAGAGCACAGTGGATGAACCCATAAAACAACCTCTGATTTGTTCAGTCTTTTCCTTTTTCCTGAAACAAGAATATCTGAATGCTGCAAGTTTTCCTCCCTTTCCAACTTGACCACAGTAATCATCTTTTTCATTACCAACATAACCTTTTGTAAGTTAACTGTTACTCCAAAGGTATTTTTTTAAGTTTCAGAACTGGATTTATGTATTTACAAAGATAAATTACAACAATAACAAGGGATTAAAGAACATCCAGAGAGCCGGGCGGTGGTGGCGCACACCTTTAATCCCAGCACTTGGGAGGCAGAGGCAGGTGGATGTATATAAGTTTGAGGCCAGCCTGATCTACAGAGTGAGTTCCAGGACTGACTCCATAGCTATTGGGAAACCTTGTCTCGAAAGTCGAGAGAGAGAGAGAGAGAGAGAGAGAGAGAGAGAGAGAGAGAGAGAACATTCAGAGAAGACAGACCATATAATAAAAGTCAGTCATACCAAGTGTGGTGGCACATGTCTGTAATTCCAAGTCTCAGTAGGTTGAGGCAGGAGGATAAAAAGCAACAAGGCCATCATGGGATACATAAGTGCAATTATATTATATCTATGACTTCCAAAGGTATTTTTAATTGACCTTTCCTGGATACATTTCAGAAGATGGGTGGAAGCAAGGTATGTCTCAGACAAATTAATCAGCTATATCAGGGTCCTGGTGAGAAAACCTTGCATAATAGTATGAGTTGTAATGGACTGACTAGTGTGGAAAAGTCCGTGTGAGGGTAGACCCAGGGAAGATACTCTTCCCACATGCAGACCCTCCTCTGTCATGGACCTATAAGAAGGAAACCAAAATAATATATTTGCTTGTCCTGCTCTGACCAGAACCATTTTTTCCTTTTTTTTCTCCTTAGTGTTGAAATAATAAGACTGGGCAACAGTTACTATATCAACTGGGATCGACAGATGTTTTATGCACCAAAGAACATCCCAGCACAGGCTCGCACTACCACTCTCAATGAAGAACTCGGCCAAGTTAAATATGTGTTCTCTGACAAGACAGGAACTCTGACGGAGAATGTGATGGTCTTCAACAAATGCTCTATCAATGGGAAGACCTATGGTATGTGCACATTCCACTCTTCCTGAGTCAAATATAACTAAATCTACAAAGTCTCTGAAATTATATTTGCCTTCTATTCTTACAACCCTTTATTAACTAAGCTGGGAGTGGGAAAGGTGGTCTTCCCCAGGGAGGAGCACACCAGTGAGCTGTCCAGTGCCCAATAGCCCTAAAGATATATACACAAGTAACATTATATGAACTCAGGTTACATTTAGGACTATATCAACTATATATATGCATGTAATAACAATTAGTGAATCTGAAGGAAAATGGGGAGGGTTATATAGGAATATCTAAAAGGGGGAAGAGAAGGAGAAATAATGTAATTAGATTATAATCTAACAGAAACTCATTTACTTAGCACCTAGGTGATACAGTCTATTGTTTTGTGCTTTAAGAAGACCAAGATTTTTACAAGATTTAGTACCTGTTCTCAAGGGGTTCCTGATATCTTGAAAAATAATATGCTCCGTTATTTTAATTCAAAATCAGATGGAAATTGGTAAAAGAGTAGAAATTTTTTATTTAAAAAATTAAGTTTTTGAGTTTATTCTATAGTATAGCAACCAACCACAGTTAACAACGTCTTGTATGATTCAAGCTCATTGAATAAAATAAAAAACCCTAATTGAAGGAAGAAAGAAAAGAAAATTGTGGATGGTGTACACGAATGTCATCCAGGCTGTCCCCTGGCCTCTATACACGAGTGTACATATGCATGAATTGCATGAATACACAAAAAAATTAGTGAAGCAAAGCTTTCTTCTAAATTACTCAGTAATCCCCTTTCTAGAGATCCTCTGAAAGTGGGAAAAATATTAAAACAGGCATTTGCAAATACTCACTGCAGCACAAATATTGCTCAAAAGGTGGAGATGCCCATTACACTCATCAACAGACGAGTGGACATTTTCAAGTTGTCCGTAAATATATGTAGTTGATTCGATCATGAACAATCATGAGTTTGGTACCTGGTACAATCCAGGTTCTAAATCTGAGGTACAGTGTGTTGAGTAAATGAGCCAGACACAAAAGGACAAACGCTGTATGGTTCTCCTTAGGTAAAGAATACATAACAGGAAAATCCACTGAAATAAAAGCAGAAAAAGGTAGCTAGGGCAGAAATGAGGAGGGATGGGGAGATTCTGTTTGAAGAACGAAGTGTTGAGGGCTGGGAATGCAGTGGTAGACGACTGCCTCATAGTCAAGAGGCTCTGGGTGTAATCCTCAGCACTGCCAAGAAGAAGGAGAGAAGAAGGGAGAAAGAAAGAAAGGAGGGAGGGAGGGAAGGAAGAACTGCAAATAGATGGTAATGATAATTGCATAACACTATGGATGTAATTAATACTGCTGAATCTTAAAAACAACTAAATGGCAGGTTTATAGCACACACAAAAAGCCTCCTTTAAACCCTTCACTAAATCTCTGCTCTGTATGCTTGTCAATAGGTTATTCCTATGACGCCAATGGACACCGTGTGCCCGTGTCTCCGGTGAGTAATCACAGCTTCTGTGACATACATGTGGGAGGCGAAGGGAGTAGTATCTTTGCACAGCTCAGTCTCTACTCCCAAGATAATTAGCCTTTAGAACCTAAAATGTTAAAAATGTCTATACATGGCCTATTTTTATTTGAGAAATTTTTGTGAGAATAGTTTTGTTGGTATTGACTTGCTGTGTTTGCTTCACCTCTCCTTCTTCTGTCTATCCCTCTCTCTCAACACAATCTATGTAGATCAGTTCCTCAAAACAATCCATGATCATTGTCTTAGTTCTGTTGCTGTGAAGAGATACCATGTCCAAGGCAATGCTTTTCAGAGAGCATTAAGTGGAGCTTGCTCAGTTTTCGAGGGCTGGTCTGTGATCACTAAGGCAGGAGGCAGACAGGCACTGTGCTGGGGTGGTGGCTCCAGCTTTACATCCTGATGTTCAAGAAGTGGGCAGAGGGAGAGACACAGGGACAGACATGGCCTTTCGAAGCCTCAGAGCCCAACCCAGCAGCACATCTACTCCAATAAGGACACACTTTCTAATCCTTCCAAACAGTTCAACTGGGTGCCAAGCATGCAAATAATTGAGCCTATGGGAGCTTTCTCATTCAAACCACCACGTTCCACTCCCTGGCCCCCATAGGCTTGTAGCCACATCATAATAAAAAATGCATTTAGTACTTCTTCAAAGGTCCCCACAGTCTCAAAACAGTTTCAAAGCCCAAAGTCTTTTCTTAGACTCAAGACATTCTCTTTACTGTGAAATCAAAATGCATCCTTCCAACCTTGAGTGCCCCAGAAGCTACATTACCATTGCAGAAGGGAGGGAGCAGTGTGCAGAAACACTGAGCCTAAAAGTGGCTGGCTCTTCCTGGTTGTCAGTTCAACTGCATCTGGAACTAAAGTCCAAGTGGCCGGGCACATCTGTGGGATTTTTTTCTTAAATAATTTTTAAAAATTATTTTAAAAAAATTATACACCATCATGTTTGGTCTATTGTGCTTTTGTTTAGTTTTAAAATATATCAATATGCTAAATAAAGGAAAATAGCAAATTGAAAAATTATTTTTATTGATTATCTGGGAATCTCATATCATACAACATGATCATGCTCACCTCCCAGTCTCTTATGTCTGCCTCTCCACGTAACCTACCCCTATCAAGACACACACACGTACACACACACACAGATGTCCCCCAGGGTCCGCTAATAGCTGCTGCTACATCTATAACCAAACTAAAGACCAAGCAGGTTCTTAGAGGGGATGTCAAAAGTATAGTCCATGAGTAAGTACACTATACTACTAAAGGCCTTAATGAGTTTGCTAATGCATTCAAGCAGAAGTCTGGGGAATATGTGTGGGAATGGATTTTGAAGGGTATGGGATCATGCTTATTGATATGGGCCCTCTGAGTGGAGAGTCTAGGTTTAATATGGAAACTCAGACAGTTGGGAAAAAAATGTATCCCAAGTTTATTTGAATAGTTAGCTGAAACATTTGACAGAAGATGGCCTACTGAAAAGGAGTGGGAGATGCCTGAAACCCCTTTGTTAGTGTTGATAAGGCTCTGGGAAATTCCAGTGCTAGGGTAGATTTGCTATATAAAACTTAATCCTCTACATTGGGAAGGCTTGAAGTCATGTCCTTCCCTAACCCTGCAAGGTGCAGACTGGTGCGAGGGCACCAGCACATCTGAAGAACTTTGTTGTCGCCCTTTCCTGCTGCCCAGTTGCAAGAATTAAATCCAATAAGATTAACTGGGTCCAGAAGTAGCAGGGGCCAAGTGGCAGCCCTGAATCCCAAAAGGAACGTAATTGTTGTTGTTGTAATGCAAAGCTCTATGGTGGCCTGTGGTGGTCAGACAGGCCTCCACAAGCACTCCTCTTACCGGGGCAATGTTGAATTAGGAGTGGCGGCAGGGCTGCGTCCCCAGCACCCGGCTGCTCGCATTGGCTAGGTTATGCCCCGAAATAATTACACGGAAACTGTATTCTTTCAAACACTGCCTGGCCCGGCTAGGTCCAGCTTCTTATTGGCTAGCTCTTACATATTGTCCTAACCCATTTCTAATATTCTGTGTAGCTCATGAGCTGGCTTACCAGGGAGGATCTTAACCTGCGTCTGTCTGGAACGGGAGAATCATGGCGACTCCTCCACTAACCTTCTTTCTCCCAGAATTCTCTTCTGTATACTCCGCCTACCTAATTTTCTATCCAATAAAATGGGCCAAGGCAGTTTCTTTATTAATAAGAAACCACTCCCACATCAGGGCAAGGGCATGGGAATTTAGAAATATTAGTAAAGAATATGAAGACGCGTATGAAAATAATAAAACATAAACCAAAGAAAATACCAGGAGGGCATTCTGGTGAATACTGAAAATCAACCGTGTTTAATTTTCTATACTTTAATACCCCAATATGAAAGGAGAAAGAAGACAACAAAAGACTTGTTTAACATGATACAAAGGACAACTCAAACAATTAATTGCTTTAACACCCTGAGGCATCAAGTCATTAGCATTGTTCAGGCTATGAAGCTACCCTAAACCAAGTATCCTGAAGGCAGCCACTCCACAGGTAACCTCTAATTACAGAAGGAGCAGAAGTACATTTGCATATCCTGCCCATTTGTAGGATGGAATTAGGCTCACATTTTTGGGCATCCACAATTTCTCCCTTTTTATTAATTTTAATAAAGCCTGTGCTTCTGCAACAGGACAGATGATTGTGTCTGCCTTAGGTGAACACTTCCCCATTTCTATTCCTCTACAGAACCCTGACTAATACACAACATAGTACAACTATGAAGAACTGGAAAGAGCTATGTGAATTCTGCTATAGACTAGGCACACATGTTTGTTAACAGACTCCTGTCTTCAGACCAGCATTTATTCATGGAGACTGCAAGTAGCCTGACCTCAGTGTCTGAAGAGTCAAGGTCATAACTAAGCAATTAGTCAATTTTAGACCCACAAATTGAGTCAACGATTAAACAGAAAGAAATTATGTCAGACTGTGAGAGTTAGAGATGGGAAGAGCCAGGTATGCTTATAGATCAGGCAATATTAGTATGTAAACAAGCAGATACTGAAGCTTGTCATGTGGTGTTTTTAACATTCTTCTCCAGCCCACTTTCTCTCGGTGGGATCCATTACACTGATAGCATTGAACCAGGACCGGTTCTTTTCTCAGCCCCTAAATCAGAGAGAAGAAACCAGAAATAAGGATTTCTCAGATACCAGTTCCTAACAGAGATCAGCCAGCCCTTCATACCCTCATGCTTGATAAGCAGATACGTTTAGGCACTGGAAAAGTCACATTTCAAGGTCTCCATTGACCATTTAGACTAGCGGTAGTGCAAGGGGGCAGGAGGTCCACCAAGCCATGTGTGTTCCTGCAGGACGGTTCTTTCCTGGCTCAAGCGATCCACAGCCCAGGTCAGCAGGCAAAGCTAGGCTGGCGCATTTGCCAACTCTCTTGCCTTCCCTCTTTCATTTCCAGACAGATCTTGTCACATCCCAGAAGCAACCCCAATGTGACATTCCGGAAAATGTGCAGCTGTGGCTGAGAACTTTGCTCTGGTGTTTATGTTCTAGAACGACAAGGTCGACTTCTCCTACAACCGCCTGGCTGACCCGAAGTTTTCGTTCTATGATAATGCTTTGGTGGAAGCCGTGAAGAGTGAGGACCACTTGGTGTACTTGTTCTTCCTCTGCCTCTCATTGTGCCACACGGTGATGTCCGAAGAGAAGGTGGAAGGTGAGCATAGGCCTGAGCCTCGTGGACTGAGCTGTGCTCCAGAATCAGGACTGGTTGGAAGTGGGGTGGTACCATGTGCTCTGAGCAGTCTCTGCTAAGAGAGAACTTTCCGACAAGCGGTACTAGCCATCTGTGGAACAATAAAAACAAGGTGAGGAGCGAGTTGGGTTAGGGAACGAGTCATGGAATAGGGGTCAAACTTGGTGAGGCACTGTGGGTTCTGAGACAGATGCCTCTGATCAGTCCCACTGTCATTGACGAGACTTCCTGGAGGGCGAGCTGAGCGGTCCTCCTGTCACTTAGTGTGTCTGTTATCACCATGTGTCTTAGTTTCTTTCGTATGACAAAGTCATCTATTAATTTACCCAAGCTTTTTTTAAACAATGAATGAGAAATGCCTGTTTATTCATTATTGTCTTTCTTCTTAAAACAATAATGGTTTTAATTTTATTATCATTATTTTAAGTGTATGCACATTTTGCCTACATGTACATCTGTATGCCACTTATGTGCCTGATGTTTGTGGGGTCAGAAGAGGGCATTGGATCCCTTGGGACTGGAATGGAGGTGGTTGTGACCAACCATATGGGTGCTGGAAATCGAACTTGGGTCCTTTTCTTTTTTTTTAATATTTATTTATTTATTATGTATACAATATTCTGTCTGTATGCCTGAAGGCCAGAAGAGGGCACCAGACCTCTTTACAGATGGTTGTGAGCCACCATGTGGTTGCTGGGAATTGAACTCAGGACCTTTGGAAGAGCAGGCAATGCTCTTAACCACTGAGCCATCTCTCCAGCCCCTTGGGTCCTTTTCTTTGAGGCAAGGTTTCTCTATGTAGTCCTAGCTGTCTTGGAATTCATTATATAGACCAGGCTGGCTTCAAACTCACAGAGATACTCCTTCGTTTGTCTCCTGTATGCTAGAATTAAAAGTTTGCACCATTATGCCCAGCTTAAGATTTATTTTTATATGTATGGATTTTTTCCTGTATGTATGTGTACCATGTACATGCCTGGTACCTAAAGTGGCCGGGAAAGGGTGTCAGATCCCCTAGGACTAGTATTACAGATGGTTGTGAGCCACCATGTGAGTGTTGGGGATAGAACCATGGTCTTCTTGAAGAGTAGCCAATGTTCTTAACCTTTTGGGCTAGGCATGTAAGGAAGTTTTGAAGAACTATATGCCCTTCTGGACCACGTGAAATATGGTCTCACTTCTGGGTGGACTTAAGTTGCTCATCTCTGTAGGCTCTGTTGCCTTTCTGTTTGTTGTCAGGTGAGCTGGTATACCAGGCCCAGTCACCAGATGAAGGTGCCCTGGTCACTGCTTCTAGGAACTTTGGCTTTGTGTTCAGTTCCCGCACATCTGAGACAATCACAGTGATCGAAATGGGGAAAATCCGAGTTTACCAGCTGCTGGCTATTTTGGACTTCAGCTATGAGCGCAAGCGGATGTCTGTTGTTGGTGGGTGCGCCCTCGGCGGCAGTCTCTCTGGTCCTTTGAGCACATTTGCACATTGGCTTTGTGTTTCATCTACACATAAATCCTTTCCCCCTCACATGACTTCTCAAACATACGCCCTTTCTCTCTTGTCTCCTTTAAATTGTCTCTTAGGTATAAATAGGGGCTTACTACAGAGTGCTAAGTCCTTTCTTTAGTTTGTCTGCTGGTGACTTACCAATATGCTTACTGCTAAGATGAGGACATAAGTTAATCCATAAAGCCTGAACATGGCCTAAGAACGGGAGCCAATAGCATAGTAGTCCTCCTTGCCCATGGAGTCACAGATTCAGCAACTATAGATCAAAAACATTTTAAAATATTTGGGGCAAGTTACAAGCCCCAGCCTCAGATAATTGTGAGATCCTGCCTCACAACTAAATAACAATCTGCACCACACTCTTCCACGGGGGATAGTGAGGCCACAGAAGGCTTCTTTCGGAAAGTTTCTCTGTCACTATCTGGCCCTTACTGCATGATCTATCCTATGTGACCATACCATTGTGTTCTTAACCTCCAACGGCAGCAGAAGTGAGTGTTACAGGGAACAGCCCCTCATGCCCCTCAGTGAATCCAGACAAATTCCCAAATAGTAGGCCTATGTGGTTATTTTGCTTAATTTGCTCATCTTTAGTTCGGACGCCTGAAGATCGGGTCATGTTGTTCTGCAAGGGAGCAGACACCATCATCTATGAGCTGCTCCATCCGTCCTGTGCATCCCTTAGTGAGGTGACCATGGATCATTTGGATGTAAGTGTTTAAGTGGAAGCCAGTGGACGTGGGTGTGGGTCTCGGCAGCTTCTCACATGACCAGTAATGCACCCTGTGCTAGGTAGGGTGTCTCTATACGGGCATGTGTTGGCATCAGTTTTCTTTGGTTGACCAAAAAAAAAAAAAAAAAAAAAAAAAAACAACTAAAACTATTTTATTCTGCTGTATTCTCACTGACCATAATTCCAACTTCCGTGTCAAAGAATTGTGTGGGACAAGACCCTGGAGGTCTAACGAAGATCGTGTCTGTAGGCTCACATGCAGTGATCAGAGTTGTTCTGGGACGCTGGCCTCCAGAGGGCCTCCAGACCGGGTATCTGCTTCAGAATATGGTCTGCTGGCATGGAGGCCTTACTCTACAAGACCTGATATGTTACGGTAAGGATCAGAAAGCAAGCAGTAGGCTGTTTGAGTGGCTCTCTGTCATCAAATCCTCGAGGGCACCTTCCCTCTTCCTATCTCGTTCTACTCCTGCCCACCAGCACTTGGAATACATCATACAAAAAAGAGAGTGGCCTCTGCTTGCTGTCACAAGAATGAGAAAGCAGATCAAAGAACTCTGAGGCTTCTAACACTCAACCTGTAAATATAAAAGGCCGACAGTCTAAGGAAAGAACAAAAGACAGGATGGAGAGGGATGAACAAACCAGTAAAGTATTTCATAAAATAGATTGTAGAAAATACTGTTTTACTAAGTAGTAACACGTAGACAGAAGTCAGAGGACAAATATCCAATAAACGCATGAAAAGATGGTTGACATCATTAGTTATTAGAAAATACAAATTAAAAAAAAACATGAAATACTGCTTTTCTGTACACCAGGATAGTTTAAACCAGATAACCAGACCATAATAAATGCCATCTAGATGTAAGAAAATATAGTCCTCATACACTGCTGATTAAAAAGGTAAAATGGCATGAGCCTTTGGGAAAACAGTCTTGCATTTCCACAAAAAAATTAAGCATAGAGTTATCATGTGGCCCAGAAATTCCATTCTAGTTCTGTTTCCAGAGAAACAAAAACATGTCCACAGGGGAAAAAAAATACATGAATGCTTACGGTTGATTATTCATGGCTACAAAATGGCTGAAGTAATCCAAATGTCCGTCAACAGATAAAGGAATAAATAAAATGTGCTTTTTTCCCCTACAAAGCCAAGTTTGACAATAAAAGGGAATGGAGTCCATGCAGCTATAGATGAACCTTGAAAGCATGCTACCTGAAGAAAGTCCAAAGATAGTATTTCATGACTCAGTGTGCAAATCTACAGAGAAAGAGTAAATTCTGGGTAGGCTCAGTGATAAAGCCTGATACACTGAGTCAGGACCCACACGTGGAAGGAGAGAACCAACTTCCTCAAGTTGTCCGCTGATTTACGCGCGCACACACGCAGCCACTCACACTCACACACACACAGACACACAGACACACATGTCTGTGTGTGTGTGTGTGCGTCACAGTAAATAAATAAACAGGTATCTTTGTATACAGAACAGAGGAGGTAAGTTAGTGGCCAGGGTCAGGGAGGAAAAGGAGTTGACAATGATGCTAATGGACTTGTGTTTCTCTGGAGATTTATGGATGTGTTCTAGTATTAGATAATAAGACGGATCTCTGTGAGTTCGAGGCCAGCCTGGTCTACAAGAGCTAGTTCCAGGACAGGAACCAAAACCACAGAGAAACCCTGTTTCGAAAATCAAAATAATAATAATAATAATAATAATAATAATAATAATAATAATAATAAACATGACTGTAAAGAACAGAGGTTGACATTGGGCATCTTCCTCAAACATTCTCTCTTGGTTTTTGAGATAGGGACTCTCACTGAATCTAGAGTTCACTGATTTGCATAGACTGGCTGGGCAGTGAGTCCCGACATCCACTTGTCTCTGCCCCTTTAGTGCTGGAACTACAGACACTTGCTACTACATCTGGATTTTGTACTTGGGTACCGAGGACCCAAACTTAAGCCGGGTCTCTGAACATACATAGACTGAGAAGCAAAC